TTTTTGGTCTCGGCTTGAATAAGGAAAAAAACGCATTAATGAGGCCCACGTTATTAAACGGGCCCCCACATTAGACCATCAGCCCAAACAAAGGGTGCAGCAGGGGGACCTGGGTGTTAGTACGGTGTTAGGGTACACATTGCAGGGTTCAGACTTTCGGTGATCTGCTGCTCGGTTTCGGCGCTGTCATAGAGGTTTAGGTACTGTAGGGTTTACAGAAGCGGTTTCGGTAGTTATTGCAGCTTAGTGATAATGATTTCAGCTTTGTAGGCTTGAGGTGCAGAGTCTAACACCCTAAAACCTAAACCTGGAGGATCCTTAAAGGAGGGGTATCTAAGGGGGGTCCCTCAGGGAGCACTAAGGGGAATAAGGAAGTATTGGGTTATATTTCCCTGTTGAACCCCCCTCCCTTGAGGATCCGCAATAAACCCTAAACCCTCAACCCTAAACCCCTAAACCCTAAACCCTAAACCCCTAAACCCCATTTTTGTCAAGGGCGTGCTGCCCAGGCTGGCCACACAGCGATTGCACGTAACATGACATGCCTGTGTCGTCCCTCAGACAACCTACCCACAGGCTCCAAAGTAGTTCGTTTTTGGGGTTACCTTATAGGATCCTAAATCTAAACCACAAAAAGGAACTACTTTGGAGCCTTGGGTAAGTAACCTTCCCAAAGCGTCCAGGTACCAATAATAGCAGGTTCTTGATAGATATTTGGGTTACAAAAGTATATACTATACTGTCCCAAAGGTTTCAAGTACCAGCACCGTAGGTTCTTGGTAGTCATAATGATGTGGCCGCCGAGAGTCTGTATTATGCGACACTAGACTAGATTAGACTGGACGTTACTGTACTATGCTGTACTGGAAACTATATACTATAAACTATGTACTGTATACTATATACAATATACTATGCCATACTATACTGTACTGCTACTTAGACCCTTTTGGTGACAAAGCTTCTCATGATACACGCAGACAAACTCCCGTGGAGACTCTGAAGTTTAGGGTTTAGGGTTTGGGGCTTAGGGTTTAGGGTTTGGGGCTTAGGGTTTAGGGTTTAGGGTTTATAGACTTTAGAGTTTAACAATTTGGGCTGCGCAACGCCTGAGAGTACCGACTGGCAGCCGTGGCGGTGCAGTGGGCAGCTAGCTGTGAGCTTTGGCTCTCTGGCCACCTAACTACCTGCAGAGACACAGGCCGGATCCAAAGGGGGGGGCTGAATGTAGAGTGAAAGCAATGCGGTTTCAGGCTGAGTCGTGCTGGGATTTAGGTGTACGTCAGCATGGGGCTGCCGAAGCCAAACCCCTGGGTACCTACGAGGTCTAGAGGCTGTGCATGGACCGACTTCTCGTGGCGCAGCCCCTAGAAATTCGATGCTAGAGTTTCGGGATTACGAGCACAGAGAACATGGACACTACGAGACTACTTGAACCGCTGAAAGCCCAAATCATGCAGTGAACAGCGATCAAGACAACTGCTGGCCGCCCCTGCAAAAAGAACCACCAATGCCGAAAAGCTATCACAACACCTCAAACGTTCGAAAACCATAACAGCTAGAGCACCCGAAAAAGCTGCCTCTTCCCCCCCGCCCCCCGCCAACTTCAAAGAGAAAGCTGACAGCCAAATGCAGAAAGCACAATGAGGAATACTCGTGAGGCAACTCTACTACACAACATAGATCTCAAGCTCAAGTGCCCCGAAATCCTGTAAGCTCCTGCTGTGCAAAAAAGCAGAAACAGGTGCTTTCATCGTTAGGAAAGAGTTTCGGGGTATTCTATAATTCTATCTCAAAGTTTCTATAGGGTATTAACTTCTCCGATCGCAGAATATCGGAAAAAAACACGTCAGCAAGATAGTGCTCGAGTTCTGCAGTCTGGGCAGGAACCGCTTGCCCAACCCTATCCCAAGAGTTCTGGCACGGCTGTCATGTAGGATTCAGGAAACGTGCTTTTGATCTTTGCATTCGCTCATGGTCTCTGGTTCCGGGAATCTGAATCGCTCCGCGTGTTGCAGAGGCGAGCTTCGGGAAACGTCGACATCTGCCCATCTTTGGGGCATCCTACCGAACTTTACATGGAAGGACGCCTAGCTGTGAAGTCAAGAAACAACCAAAAACCGGCATGATCATCATTCCCTTAGGTTCCTTGACCTTGTATAGAAGTATATAAGTGAGTAGGTAGAAAAGTATGTAAGCATATATGCACATAAGCATATAGTATATAGTGTATACAATATATTATATATAGCATCTAGTATCTAGTACATAGGATATAATTTCTCGGGCTAGGGGTCCTGTCAACTCTGCACGTCTCACTGCGCAGAAGCTGCAAGGAGTGCGTCTGTCAGGCAATGTCAGCTCGTGATTATTGAAGGCCCCCTCAATAGAGCGAAACTCGGCCCTGCACACAATAATAAAACGCCCCCTCAATAGAGCGAAGCTCGGCCCTGCACAGAATAATGAAGATGATTTAGTCCCCCTCAATAGTGCTAAAATCCCGTCCGGCCTGTATTATTTTTAGGGGTTTAGGGAAATAGACACTGCTACTACAAACTGACGCCCTGGAAGAGGAGCGACAAAGACTACTGTACTACTACTGTAACACTAAGCGTACCACTACCGAGTGCCCCGGCCCCCAAACAAGTTCGACCCCCACCCCCCCCAACCCCAAACAAGTCCGCAACTTCAGAAAAAGACCCCAACCCTATTCCGGATTCCAGGTTGTTTTGTTGGGGGGCGGGGGGGGGTTATAATCAGGAGGTCACATTAAAGAACTCTAGATTCGCCACTGGTTGCCGGTTAAGGGTTTAGGATTTGGGGGTTATATAGGGTTTGGGGTGTAGGGTTTAGGATTTAGGGTTTGGGGAATCGGGTTAAGAGTTTGAGGTTCAGGGTTTATAGGGTTTAAGGTTTGGCACTCTTTCTTCAAGTGTTTGGGGTTGAGGCCTTGCGAGGGGTATCCGGCACTCTCTTATCCAGTCTACCGGATGGGCGTTTAGGGTTTAGGGTTTAGTTAGGGTTTAGTATCATCATAAGGTACGGGCCTCAACGTTTATTGGTTTTGGTTGTACTGTATAGGGTGTTGGGGTAGACTATACTCGAAAGATGCGAAGGAACCCTACGAAATACTCTTACGAGTTTTTTAGGCCCCTGTATTAGTTTGTGGTCTGATGTTCTTCAGAAAAGCTTGTTGCAGTAGTGCTCCGTAACATGTTGGTCCGATTGATTTACGGTTTAGGGTTTAGTTTAGGGTGTAGCATTTCACAAAAAGTTTCCGCGGGGCCTGCGTTAGTGCATGGTCAGGTTTCGCGGTTTCGGAGGCTAAATCGTGCTTCTCTGGTGGTGCATGTTCCTCTCTGTTGGTCAGTGTGTCTGATTACAACCCAGCGTTTAGGATAGGTGTGGGGGTTGTGTGTGAATTGTAGATGCAGCATTACCACAAGATACCCATACGTTGTGCACTCCAGGGCGCGGTTCGAGTTCCGGCACAATCGGTAGACAAAAGCCTTACTGACCTCTGCCGGCTCACCGTTCACATCATTGCGGTTTTGACTTCGGGACGGCTGAGACGGTACCTAGACCTTGCGTTGCAGAATCTGCTTTGGTTGCCCTTGAATCTGTTCGTGGGGCCCGAATCATAAATCGGCAAAGTCACTGCAATACAGGGGTTTAGGTAGGTTTGGACTTGACGCGTCTCGGAACAAATCCCGACGAAAAATGCGGGTCTTAAAAAATTAAGCCTCGTGCTTTAGAGTTTTGGGTTTTAGGCCCTGAACCCTGAACCCTAAACCCTCAGGGCTCCAAATCGCTTCAAAGCATTCCAAAGCCTTGTGAAGTCTGGTCTTCGGGACCAAAAGGCCTAAACTACGAGTGTCTCAGGCGAAGATTTAAAGCCGCAGGCGCATATGCTACACGCTTCGGCGGATGATTAATCCAAAGGCTCTGGCCATGCATATCTGAAGGCTTGTGGTTTAGGGATTAAGGATTAACGTTTGTGCTAATAAACACTAGAGCGAGCGAGCGAGAGAGAGAGAGAGAGTATGTACATTGTACATATGTACACGTATGTACTTATCAAATAAGTCAAAAGGATCGGTCCGGAGTTTCCCTAAGATACTGGAGGATGGGTATACATACTGTAGCGGTACTCGGACTCTGAGGAGAGTAGGGCCTTGATAACTGGAACAGTATTTGTTCCTTCGGGCTTAGGGTTATCATTGTAGTTTAGGGCTCGTGGTTTAGGGTTTAGGGTTTCGGGTTTAGGGTATCTAATCCTTATGTGTACCACACAGATTCCCCTGCCCTGCCTGCTGGGCGATGCTCAGCGTAGTTGAATCATGATGCGTCGGGAATCCTCCACTTGGGCATCTGACTCCGAACGAAACTTCGTGGTTAGGGTTTAGGGTTTAGGGTTTAGGGCTTCAGAAGAGTTGAAAGCAGCACAATTGGGAGCTAGGATTAAGGGGACCCTTGGGGATATAGACCCTCTCAATACGGGTCCCGTTTAAGAGAACCACAAGTAGGGTTAAGAAGGGTCTCCTTTAAGGGGTCTCCCTAATACTACCTAGGAAGAATAACGACATTCATAGTAGGACCATGCAGGATCTCCATTCTGCAAGACCTTGCAACAGCACCCCATGACCTTAAGAACTCCCACGATGGACGGCGACTAGCGGAAGGGAACAAAGCACCTCGTAACATGGGATCTTATATGGTGTGCAGAGCTTGATAGCGTCACTGTGAAAATACATCCGCATCAAGACTTACTGCAAGTTCAAGGAAAAGCTAAAGGCATCCACGTAATGTCTTGCAGCTGGCCTTGCTTTCCATGGTTGGGCTTGCTTCGGGTTCAATGGATTGTCCATGGACCAATAATACAAAAAGAGCACTCGATATGCTAATAAAATCCTTGGTCTCGAAGAGCCAGCCGCGACCGTCAGAAAGGCGGAGGAACCACGTCGCATTGACACGGCAGCGCCTGAGCTAGGGTTTTATCCGCTACAGGATTGAAAGACAAACTCAAACCCAGAACCCTAAACCACTGAGCCAACAAGTCTAATTGGTAGTTGTGTGTTTATTTTGGGCTGTTTTGCGTGCACGGTTCGGCAGGGATCAAAGATTGGGCAGTCTCCATGTCTTCTTTAGGAAGACACTCCAAACGCCAACCCGTCTGGGCCCACCACAACGCTTAGATTACATCCCAAACTCTAAACCCGATAAGCTCCTATAAGCTCTAAACCCCCATAACACCCTGAACTGCACAAAACCCTAAATTAACCCCAAACTCTAAACCCTATAAGCTCTAAAACCCCCATAATGCCCTAAACCTCAAAAGGAACCCCACCGAGGGAGCGGCTCGTCCACTGCGACGCAATCCCCAGGATGAACCGTAAGACCCGTCCGAGCCTGTTTCGGCATAGGGCTTTTAGGGCTTCTAGTAACCCGGTTGAGGGATTAGGGTTTAGGGGTTTAGGGGTTTAGGGGTTTAGGGGTTTAGGGGTTTAGGGGTTTAGGGTTTAGGGGTTTAGGACCTATAGTATCCATTGCAGTTCCTTTTTGGGGCTTACTTTTTAGGATCCTTGCAATAAAGGGGGTTAAACCAGAAAAGGAACTGCAATGGAGACTAGAGGTAGGGCCTTTAGGCTTTGTTTTTGGTTGAGGGCTTGGGGGTTTATAAGGTTTAGGGTTTGGGGGATTTGAGTTCGGAGGCTTGCGGCGTGTGGGGCTTTTAGGTTTAGGCTTTACTGTTTAGGGTTCAGGATTTTGGGTTTGGGTTTGGGGTTTAGGGCTTTAGGTTTAGTTTACAGTTCAGGGTGTAAAATTAGGATTTGAGGTTTAAGATGCCTTTGATACAGGCCTTGTAGGAATCTTACAAGAAATTATGCTGCTTCGATCTTGCAGGGGTTTGGTGTTGCGCTTTGCTTCTTTAATCGGGCTTGATATACGGGTGTAGGCGGGTTTAGCAGGATCTCATAGGGGTTGGTTATTCACGAGCTTTTTGTGGGCTTCAAAAGTGTTCTGAAAGGCACAAGATTGCAAGCCGATATCTTCAGGCCCCTACTGGAAGTCAAGAAGGACACAAAGACCCCTAAACCCCAAAAGCCCTATACTCTACCCTAAAACCCTAAGCCCTAAACCCTAAATTCCCACCCGGCGCCCCCACGGGGCCGTTCTTACCCAACACTGGGTGCTCAGACTGAAGATGCCCGCCTTTGCACCCGTGGTGGGCGAAAAAATGAGTGGAGCGTATGGAGAAATCGGACCGGGCTTATCACGAGCACAGTTTTGGACGATGGAGTGCCAGCGCAGGGTACAGAGGGCCGTGATCTGGCTAAGCCCGCAGTTGCACTTGCAACGCTTGCCCCAAACGAAACCAATGAACATAGAGCAAAAAACTCACGTAAGCAATGACAAAAGTATCGACATCTCTATAAGCTCCTTACGGTCATAGCTCCCCGTGACTGGCTCAGGTAGGGGCAGCTGGCTCCGCTACAGAAACCGCTGTCATGACATGGATGGGAAATGGGGGTTTCCGAAAATAGGGGACCCTAATGTAGTACCCTAAATAGTAGGATCCTGATTATAAGGACCCCCAAAATAAGGTACCCCTAATTTTCGGAAGGGAACGAGGAGATGGCTTGGGCTGTTGCCTGTCTCCGGTTCCACGGAGCCCAGGAGGTCGGTTGAGACCAAATATGCCGCCAGCCACAAACCCTGATCTGAGGTGGCGCCATCTTAGCATGGACTATCGGCCACTGCGCAAGAAGACACCCTTAACCCTAACCAAACCCTAAAGGCCCTACATCCTAAACCCTAAACCCCGAAACCCTAAACCCTAAACCCAAAACACCCTAAAGCCTCCACCCTACACCCTAAACCATACACCCTAAACCCTAAACCGTACAAGCTTAAGGTTCAAGCCTCAGGTCGCTTGGAGTTTAGGGCTAAAGCATCCCCACGCAGGTCGCACCGGGCTGCTATCTTCGACTCACTTCTTGAAGGGACTTCGGGTTTAGGGGTTTAGGGTGTAGGGGCTTAGGGCCTTTAGGGGTTTAGGGCTTAGGGTTTCAGGGTTAGGGTGTAGGGGTTTAGGGCCTTTAGGGGTTTAGGGCTTAGGGGTTTAGGGCCTCTGGGGGTTTAGGGCTTAGGGTTTAGGGGTTTAGGGTGTAGGGGTTCAGGGCCTTTAGGGGTTTAGGGCTTAGGGGTTTAGGGTGTGGGGGTTTAGGGTGTAGGGGTTTAGGGGTTTAGGGCTTAGGGGCTTAGGGTTTTGGGACTCGGTTTCATGGCATTTAATTAGCGCATTCGGGCTGTCGGGCTCCAACCCTGAAAATAGCCAGACAACAGCCGCAACATTAATCATTATTGTTGGCAATAGAAAGATGACTCTTATCCTGGACCCGAACGTACTAGTCATACACTCCACCTGCGCAATCTTCTGTGCCATAGGGGGTTATTTTATCCCCCGAAGTATCAAATGTACCCCACTCAGCTACTAAGATACCCCCAAGCTAGGAATCTAGACAATGCCCTGGACCTAAACCCTCAACCCTAAACCCACTCCAGTTTCGAAGTATGAAGTGGTGCCTCGTCCGAATAGGTCGGAGCTGCACGGATTTCCACATCGTCGTCACAAACGACGGTGTAATGCCTCAGGACAGAGTTTAGGGTTCAAGGCCTAGGGTTTGGGGTTAAGAATTGTAGGGTTTAGGGTGTAGGGTTTAGGGTGTCACTTGCTTTAGGTTTTTTTGGCTTTACGACTTCAACCAAAAATCGTGTGGCTGAGGTTTGGAGCGTGGAGGTCTCAGGACGGGGTGGCTGCGATGCCAGTTACAACCATTTAAATAGGTGGGGCGGCAGCAGGCATAGGCTACAATGGGCTAACAGGGGGGGATAACTGCGCCTGGTTCTGACTTGTTCTGGGTGGTGCCGGGGGGGGGGGGTGGAATTCATGACGTTTTTTGCTTCAAGATTCAATACGCATGTCTTCCTGATGCTGTTCTTCATGGTCGTGTTGTCATGTTTGCAGATACTCTGTGCTAGTCTTGCTTGTTTGTGGCTGCATGTTGATGCACGTCAGGATGTTGCTTTGCACGGGCATGGTGATGGACGCATGGGCTGCATGGTGCTGCACGTGGGGCTGGTGATGGATGATGCTTGCATGGTCAAGGATGCATGCTGATGCACGCGGGGTTTCTGATGCTGGATGCTGTTGGCACGGTGATGGTTGTTTGGTGATGATGTTTTCGTGGTGATAGAGTCGGTTTCAGCTGTAAACCCTAGGTCCTAGACCCTGAAGAAGAACCACGCTCTTGCTGCACTGCAGTCTTTCCGCACACAGGCAGCCACTAGAGCATTCTCCAACACCTGCAGGCTTGCACATCATGGACACGTGACAAGCACTAATCACTAACATTGCAAGACGACATGCCACGCAGCTGCCGATGCAGAACCACCAGCACACACACACACAGAGACTTAGTAGGTTTTACTTTCAGTTCGGGCAGTGAGCAATAGAGCGATGTCAACAAGTGGACGTAGGCGTGCACCGCACTTCGCTCCATGCTGCCATCCGGCTCGTCTGCATTTCTCAGCTGGCTGTCGTGCCTCCTGGCCTTCGTGCTCCTGCTACGTCTGCGGGGACGTCGCCCTGTCTGCCAATCTGGGCGGCTTCGTGCACTTCGCTTTGGATGACCGTGCACGATGCCTGGCGTGCCTCTTGGCTTACGCCTTTGGCTTCACTACTTAGCCTCTTTGCCTTGTTCTGGGCTCTCTGCCCTTCTTGTGCACTGCGGTGCTCACCTCAGGTTGCGACAGGATCTTTGGACGATGCTGCAATCGTCGTGCTTCATACACTCTTCTCGAGTCCTCGGTCAACCGTGCAGGCCGCTTCCCTTGGACGGCTCTGGTGTCCTCGGCGACTGCTCTAGCATGGGTCTACTCCAGTGTGTCTTCTCTGCCACTTCAGAGAGATGGGCAGCTTTTCAAGGATCGCCTGGTGTCTGCCATGAGAGTGGACAGAATGGTCGACCACCCGGCAGTGGCGGAAAGACAGCTTTGATCACGGATGGTGCGAAAGCCTATCCGCCCTTAGCTCGTGCATGTGGCATCAAGCATAAGTCATGCAACCATGCCACAGGCATTTTCTGTGGCAACGCCCGACGAAGACCCTAGCAACGTGGACGTTGTTTGGCAGCAGGTTAAACCGTGGCGACCCAACGACGCGGACGAAACAGCAGGATAACTATGTGAATATTCATCACGACGACAACGCCGGAATACACACCGGCAACGGCAACAGCAACAACAGTTGTGATGGCGAAGAGTCCAGGTTGCTCCTGAACAGCACGCCCAAACAACAGGGGCGAAGCACCTATGGAGCAGGAACCCTCAACTTTGGCCACGAACCCCTCATAACAGCAGCTATCCGGCGAAAAAGAAAAACACCAACCCCGACGATACCAACATGAAGATCACACTGTCAGCTCCCAAAAGCACGAACACCTGGGGCAGGTGCCAAAGGCCCCTCGCGAAGTCTCGTGCCTCCTTCTCCTTTGCCCGCACCTGGCACTTGGGTGCTTGCAGGCCGCAGATCGGACGAAGGCTTCAGGAGGGTTTGCTACGGCTGTCCAACATCCTGGCCTTCATACAAGCCCAAACTTGCGATCAGAATTGCGATGGTTGCTTCTTATGTGTCCAATTTGGAGAACTTGGTTGCTCAATACTGCCTTCTTCCGTCTGACATGCCAAAACGTGAACAGCATGAAGCCAAAACCCAAGACTGTGCGACGTGCCCTCTGCGAGGGTTACCACACCCGCTGCAAAAGACCTGGCAAACCCTGGAATGAACACGACCACCCTTGCCAAACGCTAAAACCGTGCCTGAACCCGACAACCCTAAAATCCATCCCCCAAACCCCAAACCGTAAACCCTGAACCCTAAAACCCCGAGAACCCCTAAAACACTGAACCCCAGGTCCGGCCTCGCTCATGACGAGAAGGCGGTCTTTCGTCTCGAAAACCCAGCCACGGCCGTCCGCCAGCTTCAAGAACCTCAGGTTTGGGGCTTCGGGTTTAGGATTTAGGGCTAAATTTTGTTAAATGCAAAGAGCCACGGTTTAGGGTTTAGGGTTTGGGGTTTAGGGCTAGTTTAGCTGAAAGGCTTGACGGCTTTAGGGCTGTAAGGCTTATGGTAGTTTGGGTGGGAGCTTCCTCAAAATGTCCTGGCAAAGCTAGCCAAGGGTTGTCGGGCCTTCGAATTCTGTGGGCAGACCGTTGATGCATAACCCCTCTTGTCCTTCACTATAGGGCTCCATAATAGGGTCCCCCTTAAGGGTACTATAGGGTTCTATAGCAAGGTCCCTTTTAAGGGCTCGGGCAGTGTTTGTTGGTAGGCCATTGACCATTGAATTTCTTGCCTGCGATCAAGGACCACCAGAGAAGCGTAACCAGGAAATGACCTCTGCAGACCCATTCATTTGGGAAATGCGACACCCTGGCTTTCGAGAAGTGACCTGGAATTTCAGCTGCAAGGCCAGGAAGAATGGTGCGAGGGGCGAGGGGCACCCTAAACCCTTAAACCCTAAAATCGGCCCTAAACCCTAAACCCCTAAACACAGACACCACTACGCTACAACTTTATGTACCCTATGCCCCTAAACCGTTTGCCTAAACCCTACCCCCTCACACTCCAAACTCCGACCCTGAACCCTAAACCCAAACTCCAGCTCCTGGAACGGTTGGGTTGGGCCGCTTGCTGGACTTCGTCAGCTTAGCACTTAGAATAACTTTGGGGGGGCTGAATGATATGGATATCTAAATCATCGTATAATCAGGGTAGCTATGGTATAATTAGGGCCATTAGGGCTTTAAAGAAAAATCGCTTGAGGGTTTAGGGTCTGGGATTCAAGGTTTAGAACATGGGGTTCTTGACCTGAAGATGAAACAAAATAAACTGCTCATCACCTCTACAAGAGACTGACCCCCCAGGTAGCTACTGTATAGGGCCCTAGGGGCTCTAGTACCCTATATAGTAGGTACCTGGGAGGTCAGGGTGATTTCTGCTGCAAACTGCCTTGACCCTAAGCCGCCCACCGAGCCCCTGCGACGGTGCACCGCTCATCGACCGCGATGCAGTCGCCTGCGACGTGACGGGCTCTTAGTCTCGAGTAGAGGCCTGAATTATCAGAATCGGGCTTGGGGTTCATAGCAGAAGTATAGAAGCACAAACATGGGTACGCAGTTGTAAAAATTCGATCTCCCAAATGTGCCAAACCGCCCCCGAAGTAGGGGCCGTACTCCAATAGACCCTAAATCTTAAACCCTAAAACCCTAAACCCTAAAACCCTAAACCCCAAGAAAGCTTGTATGGGTGAAGCTATGGAATGCCAAAAGGCTGGCTCTATTAGGGCTTAGGGTCTAGGAGTCTAGGCCATGGTTTAAGTTGAACCCCCACTACCATTCTGTAGGGTTGAATAAGTTCTATAGTATTTGGGTATCTGATCGGACTCTACACCAACTAGGTTTATGGTATTTCAGAAGGAAGGGTTCGGGGTGTAAGGGCAGAAAAGTCACGAGTTAAGATGAAATCAGGAGTCGAGTGTAGGTTTCTCGGTCGCAAAAAATCAACTTCATTGCTTGGGGTACGCGGTCCTGGCAGTGCGATGTACAAGGAAGACCTTAACCTCCCCATCCCAGCTCCTACAGCCAAATTCCAAGACTAGAGTGGCGTTTCTGAGTGGTATTCAACAACTTCGAAATCTCTCAGAAGCCTCCAAACACGCCGACGAGAACTGCATTTTTGCACAAGCTGCGCATGGCCTGACATCAGAACTACACCGGTCCGAGCATCGTCAGCGTACCTCCGCGCATCAGAAAGCCTAAACCCAAAACCCTGAACCCTAAACCGTGGCCTAGATCCCAAACCAACGAGCAGCCCGGAGATCTCCTTCCCCTCATGTGGAAAGCAGCTTGTCAGACAGAAAAGTTAGCTGTTTTATAGGGTTTAGGGCTTATAGGGTTTACTTTACGGAAAAGACGTCTTGCTGGGACAGCATCTATGGTGTCGTGAGTAGAAAACTAAGATCTTTCATGATCTTAGCGTCTGGTTTGTTTGGTCTTGAGGATTCAGAGGTCAGTCCATGCTTTCTACAGGGTAAAACTAGGATTTCCAACCCGCAACTGTCATCTAAGGATCACAAGAACAGGCATTGAACATTGACTCTCACATTACGCCCCAGACTCTGTGAGACTACGAGCAACAAACATTGGGGAAAAAAGCCTAAATACGTGATACTGGCTGAAAGTCACTTCCGTTCTACGACGCCGGGCTTATATTGGTGCCTGAACAATATTTTGGCCTTCCTATGCCTTCCATATTATAAGTATACTAGAATATCCCCCCAAACCCTCTTCTAATTACTAAGGACGCTATACTATGAAACCCCAGAACCCAAAACCCTCAACCTTAAACCGTGGTATGATACTCGACGCGCCTACCCTCGATCTGGGAGCTGAATTCAACACCTCTGTTCTTCTTCTTCTTCGGGAGTTGGAGGTGGTCCATGACCCTGGGTTTAGTGTTTGCATAGGGTTTCAGGACTAGGCCGTTTAGGGAGCACCTCTTTAAGCACACAATTCACGGAAGCAGGCTCACGTGGGCGACATTCGAGTCTCTACGTCTTCCTCGCGTGGCTTGCAAGAGCGGGCAAACGGGCTTGCATTGGGCGATTTCAGGGCGAAGTTGAAGTTCAGGGCGCAGAGGCCTCGGTCTCGACGATTTCGGGTTGTTCTTTGATGACCATGATGTCGGTGTTGATGAGGATGGCGAACGTGATGGTGGTGATGACGATGGCGTCATGATGATTGTCATATATGGTGACGATGACGATGATGATGATGATGATGATGATGTCGAGACGACCTCAAGGTTAAGAGGCCGCGCATCTCGCAAGCATGATCTTCAGACCATCCATGACACCATGCAAGCAAAAATATTCTCCCAGCTGCTGCGGAGAATCCAGGAAATCTGACAGCGCCCGCTGCTTCCACGACACATCGGTTCACTGTGATTACATGGGTGGCAGACGAGGGATCAAAAAGTCATGGTGTGTTGCGTGTTGATCTTCGTCGACCCACTGCAAAACACAACAATGGTTAAATATTTTCAGTCCTACATACATAATTCCACGCACACTCCCAGCAGTGCAATTGACCCGGAGTCTTCCCGTCTTCAATCCAAAATTCCCTGGAGTCTGAGGTGCGCCTGGCAGATGACGCTGTAGTGCCAGAGCCTGCAGGCTTCATACTTGCAACCGCGAACACCCCTGAAGCAACACCCAGTCCAAACTCCCGACTAGACAAAGACCCCCTCGTGTCCGCAAGTTTTTACGCCTAGGCACAGGTACATAAGACATATAACTACCTATACTATACGTGCCAGATTAAGTTGATGCAATGACATTCATCTGCATCCCAACGGGAATCTGTACGTACATAACGCACAAAAAAGCGAAGAAGCTTAGCAGCAAAGATCGGATGCCCTCAAAAGCATCCGGCGGGCCTCCCCCAGCCCTGGGTCTGAGTCCTTGAGTTACAACCTGAACCCTAACCGCCTAAACCCTAAGACCCTGGATCACTGAAAACTTGCCAAAACTCTAATCCGCTAATCCTCAACACTACCCTGCATGTTTACTTCTGCCATAAATCCCGACGTTCGAATCCGCTCGAATATTCGGGTCTGAACTAGCTAAACATTCCTCTGTAGCCCAAGTAGGGTGTAAGTACAGATTACGGGCTGGCTCCTTGTGGCTCCGCAATCTAGCCGACAGAGCCACACTTCTGTCGTCAAAGACAGGTCGGTTGAAGATGGGGCGTTTGAATCCAACCTATAGTCTCCGTTGCAGTTCCGTTTTGGGTCAACCTGCTTTATACTACAGGATCCTAACCACAAAATTTTGCTAAACCCAAAATGAGCTGCCATGGAGACTGCAGGAAGGCTGAATAAGGCTTTGGGTTGGAACATGACCTGCGGACAGCTACAGCTCAGACTATCTCGTCATGAAATTCAGTAGCTCAGCGCACGGCCCTTTTTCGAACTCTTGCACCTCCGTTAACACGAGTAGTCGGTCCTCAGGCAAGTCCGAAGCTTGAATCCACCCCTGTGCTTCGTATAATTACATCTCAGACTATCTCGTCATGAAATTCGGTAGCTCAGGTCCCGGTGGAAGCTTTGCCTACTGCCGCACTTTCCGTTCGACTTAGTGGAAAGACCCCGTGTTGAGGGGCCTGAATGTCTACGTTTGCAAACCCTACATAAATCCTAAACCGTATGACTTATTGCTCCAGATTTGGGCCTGGGGAGCGGAATTGTTGATACTCGTCGGTGGGATTTCGACTCGGAGTTGTGTGTGTGGTAAGGAGCACTTGATTGGACACCTGCTGTCTTACAGACATGCCACATGTTTATGATGATGGTCTCGTGGCCCTGAGAACATCACGGCCACCGTCATCAAACATATCAGCAGCATGCTTATGATCACGAACATTCGAAGTGTAGTAATGAACTGTCAAATAGTGCAGCCAACGACAGGAAGAGAACAACGAAGATAGTGGAATGGGTGCACGCTGGAGCAATGCAGGCACAGTAATTATCGAATATGGTCGTCATGGGAGAATTGAAATTCCAGAACTGATGAATCTAACGTAAAACCAGGCAGTGGCAGTAGCCAACTAAAGCCAAGGGGAGCAGCCGTTTGTCCTCATCCGCCACCATCGCCATCATAATGATCATCATTATCATCCATCAACATCACCATCATCACGGTCACCATCACCATCAATCTCACCATCATCCTCAACATCCTCATCGTCATTATCAGCATCATCATCATCATCATCACTCTCATCCACACCGTCCTCGTCATCATGAACAACATTACCATGAACAACATCCTCATCAGCATCAGCATCAGCATGTGTGTTTTATCACCGTTTGGTCTAAAAGCAAGAATATGAGTCGGCATGACCGGCATGATGCCTCTAGATCTGCCATC